AAAAAAAAAAAAAGGCTCAGGGCAGACTCAGGGGCAGGATACCCGAGCTCACGTCCTGCTCAGCCACCAGTCCCTGAATTCTGGCCCAACAAGCCTCAGACTTCTATGTGATTACCTTTTTGTCTCTCTAAGGACAGGTGACCACGGCTCCCCCCACCCACCCTCTGTGGCAGCCGCAGGGTTACCTTGCCACCGAGGGTCCTCACCCAGGAGCTTCTCGATCATGGCCTGGCTGGCCAAGACCCCAGGCTGCAGATCAGGGACACCATCCCCACCACCGAGCTGGCCGTTCTGCAAGGCTTCCTGGGCCTGCAGCTCCCTGTGACCAAACACACAACAGTTACAGCCCTGTGCAGCCCAAGACCCTGGGAGGTGAGGAAAAGTCGTGGGAACACAGGATCACAGTCTGTCCCTATGCAGCTGCCTTGTGTCACCAGAGATGATGCCTCTGTCTGCAGGGTCAGGACAGAGCTTCCACAGGCAATGGGCACACGCTGTCCTGTCCCAACAGTCCTGATCCATGCACCAACAATGGAGAGCTGAGTGCTGTTTAGAAAGGACCCCCTTTCCTGTCCCACCTGGACATTGGCCCACCCACCCTCACCTCAGCCCTAAGGAGTTGCCACACAACACTAAAGGAACAGGGTCTTTTGTCATCAGAAATATAATAAAATCAAGACCCAGAAAAAAGACTTGCTTGAGCCAGCAAGCTGGAAACACAGGGGAAAGCTAGCTCCCACGCACCCAGCCCAGATGCCCACTCACCTGATATCACACACGGGAGGCCGCAGGTCCAAGGGGCCATGCGCAAAGGCACAGTGCAGCCCATTCTTTACACAGTGGCCACGTGCATCGGTTTCATGGATGCAGGTGCCCGTCTTGTAGTAGCGCAGGTGGTACTTGCGCTCCGTGTCCCCGGCCGTGCGGTGCAGGCAGGGGCACCTGGGGGCAGAGAACAAGCACTGCAGCAGGTCCCCGCACACTTGGAGACAGCCTGGGCCCCCTCTGCACCCTCCAGCACCTGGACAACAGCCAGCTCTGTCTTCCTCCTCCAGATGTCTGATCTCATGGGAACAATGACATCTTTGAACACAGCATCTGTCCCCTGATTTGCCCCCCCCCCATCTGAGGTACTCAAACCACGCACAAAGCTCTCTGTTAAACACAAGAGAAAAACCCAACACCGCATTTCCCAGAAAACCATCCTTCCTATTTTTTTTAAATAAACTGGCTGAGTTTAAACCTGTCACCTCCACCGTATGGGGCTGGTGCCCTACTCCTTTGAGCCACAGGTGCCTCCCCTTGAATAAATGTTTTAAACTTGTATAAAAAAATAAAGTTCATTCCCCTGCACACCCCCTTATGTAGGCTGCATCATTCTTCTGACAAGTCATTATCAGAGCCAGGATGGGGACCTCTTTAGTCCAGCATTATGGAACTTGCAGAAATCCTGACAGACAAGAAGGGAGGGAAGGAGCCTGGGGAGAAACACAGGGCCCTAGGCACAGCCAGAGGATCACACGGGAAATGGGCCAGGAAGGGAAGCCCCACTGGGCAGTGCCAAATGTCATAGGGGCCACATGGGCCTAAAGCTACACATTCCTCAGGAGGGTCACAGGTGACTCCTAGAGTAGGAAAGGGGTAAGGGGTAGAAGAAAGCCCACAGTGCAGGGTGTAGCAGCAACAGAGATGATGTGGAAGGTGCCGGGCAGTACCCCCAGAGCAGTGCCACAAACACACCATGGACACCAAAGGGCCCTAAGTCACCCACAGTGCTGAGGTCCAGGCTACTAATAGGATCACCTTGAGTGGCCCAAGGGGCAAGGCAGAAAAAGACAGGGGGTCCACTGGCACAAGCTCCCATATTCAAGAATAAAGACCTTCATCTCCACTTGGGGAACATCATGAAAGGCTCATGCCCCCCTTGCTGTTAGTAGGGCTGTGGCCCTGGGTGTTGGGATTACCTGGTAGGCATCAAAACTGACAGAGATCAAAGCTGATCAGGTAGTTCAAACCCCCTTCCCTGGTCAGTAAAGGAAGACTCAGAGTTCAGAGATGGACACAGACTTTCCTGAGCACCTGTGAGGTGCCAGGACCCTGGGCGTGAGGATAGAGACAAGATGGAGTACTAGCTGGTCCCCAGGGTTGCCTGGGAACCAATCGAGTCCAAGTAAAACCAGAAGTACCATTGTGGGGCCCAGCAATTCCATTCCTTAGCATGTTTCCAAAAGAACTGAGGATAGGTATGGAACAGATACTGCACACCATGTTCAATGCAGCATTATTCACAACCGCCACAAAGTGGGAACCATCAAGTGTCCCAGCTACCAAGAAGGCTGAGATGGATCACTTGAACCCAGGAGTTTGAGACCAGCCTAGACAGCACAGGAAGACCTTATGTCTGAAAAAAATGAACAACCCAAGCGTCCATCACAGATGAAGGGATAAACAAAACTGTGGTCTATCCACACAGTGGATCTTTCTCTGCCGCTGCTGTTAGAAATGAGATCTCAGGCTCGGCGCCTGTGGCTCAAGTGGCTAAGGCGCCAGCCACATACACCTAAGGTGGCGGGTTCGAATCCCCAGCCCGGGCCCGCCAAACAACAATGATGGCTGCAACCAAAAAATGGCGGGGCGTTGTGGAGGGCGACTATAGTCCCAGCTACTTGGGAGGCTGAGGCAGGAGACTCACTTGAGCCCAGGAGTTGAAGGTTGCTGTGAGCATGATGCCATAGGCACTCTACCCAGGGGGGTAGCTTGAGGCTCTGTCTCAAAAAAAAAAAAAAGAAATGAGGTCTCACTCTGCTGCCCATCCAAGATGCAGTAGTGTGATCACACTTCATAGCAACTTTCAACTCCTGGGCTCAAGTAATCCTCCTGCCTCATTCTCCTGAGCAAATGGGACTATAGATGTGTGCCACTGTGTGGCTTTTTTTTTTTTTTTTGCTTGAGACAAAAAGTCTCACTTTGTTGCCCTTGGTAGAGTGCCATGGTGTCTATAGCTCACAGCAACCTCCAACTCTTGGGCGAAAGTGATTCTCTTGCCTCAGCCTCCCAAGTAGCTGGGACTATAGGCAACCACCACAACACCCAGTTATTATTTTTTCAAGAGACGAGGTCTTGCTCTGGCTCAGGCTGGTCTCAAACTGGTGAACTCAGGCTATCTTCTACCTCGGCATCCCCAAATGCTAGGATTATAGGTGAGAGCCATCATGCCCAAACTATTTTTTTTTTCCTTTCAGATACGGTCTCACTCTGTCGCCCAGGCTAGAGTACCAAGGTGTTGTCATCACAACTTACGGCAACCTCAAATTCCTGGGCTCAAGGGATCCTCCTGCCTCAGCCTCCCAAAGTGCTGAGACTACAGACAGGAGCCACCGCGCCCAGCCATAATGGATTATTATTCAGCCTTAAAAGGGAAGTGAGGGCAGCACCTGTGGCTCAAAGGAGTAGGGCACCAGAGGTGGTGGGTTCAAACCCAGCCCTGGCCAAAAAAAAAAAGGGAAGTGAATACTGGCACACACACTCCAACATGTGTGAACCAGACAATGCTGAATAGAAGCCAGACACAAAAAGACAAGTAATAACATGATTTCACTTTCGCAGGGTACTCACAGTACATCAGAAGTTACCAGGGGCTGGGGAGGAGAGTAGGGAATGAGGAGCTGTGATTTAATGGGCACAGAGGTTCTGTTTTTGAATGACAGAAAAATTTTGGAAATGGATAGTGATGGTTGTATAACACTGTGAATGTAATTAATGCTGCTGAATTAAATCATACCAACAAAGCTGGGCGTAGCAGCTCACTCCTGTAATTCTAGCACTTTGGGAGGCCAAGGTGGGAGGAAAGCTTGAGCTCAGGAGTTAGAGACCAGCCTGAGCAGGAGTGAGCCCCCATCTCTACTAAAAATAGACAAATTAGGCTTCACGCCTGCAGCACAGTGGTTACGGCACCAGCCACATGCACGGAAGCTGGCGGGTTCAAATCCGGCCCGGGCCAGCTAAATAGCAATGACAACTGTAACAAAAAAACAGCCAAGTGTTGTGGCAGGCACCTGTAGTCCCAGCTACTTGGGAGGCTGAGGCAAGAGAATCGCTTAAGCCCAAGAGTTTCAGGTTGCTGTGAACCGTGACGCCCCGGCACTCTACCGAGGGTGACATAATCAGACTCTGTCTCAGAAAGAAAAAAAAAAAAAGACAAATTAGCTGGGCACTTGTAGTCCCAGCTACTCAGGAAGCTAAGATAAGAGACACTCCAGACAGGGCAACAGAGTGAGACTCTATCTCAAAAAAAAATTCATGGAAGGAGGCCAAGCATAGTGGCTCACTAGTATAATCTCAGCACTTTGGGAGGTTGAGGCAGGAGAATAACTTGAGCCCAGGTTACAGAGAGCTGTGGTGATGCCATTGTACTCCAGCTGCTGGGTGGGTGTGTGTGTGTGTGTGTGAGACAGAGCAAGACCCTATCTCAAAAAAAAAAATTTATGGAAGGAGGCAGCTAGTGTTTAATGAGGACAGAGTTTCAGTCTGGAAGGATGAAAAGTTCCAGAGAGGGATGGTGGCAATGGCTACACAACATGAATGTACTTAAAGCCACTCAGTTGTACACCTAAAAATGGTGATAATGATAAATTTTGTTATATATATTTGACTACAATAAAAAAGCAAAATTAAATTAAGCTAATAGGAAAACTGACATTTTATGAAAATGGTTCAAATCTTCAGAAATACTTATGTATTCTACTGTAGGGTCAGCACAAAGGTTGGGGAGGGTAGAACACTAGCAGAAGAGGCCCCTGAAGGTCTGTCCTCAGCACACCCTCCACACAGGGCAGTGAGGCAGGCAAAGGGCTCCAAAGCCTCACTAAAGGGCCAGATGCTGCAGGGTGCCAGCCAGGCTAGTGCACATGGGCACTAGTGCAGAAGTGACTGCAATCCACGACCCTCCCCTTCTTCCCAATTTTGAATCTAAACTTGTATGTGTTCTCTCATAGTCCTCTTAGGTAAGCATCATCTGGCCTTTTCTCCACGACCTGGGACCATCATCATGGCAACCAGAGCGCTGGTGGCCCCCCCCCTCCCCAACGCAGAAACACCACCTGGCACAGCTCTTTCACTCAGGGCTACCACCTCCTGCTTATCACACAACTACAAAGTTTGGTCTGATCTTAAGACATAGAGAAGGTTTAAGAGAAAAAAAATGTCTCGACCTTAAGGACACATATGCAGTAAGAAGGGATACCCAAAAGAAAACATCGCAGCCTCCTGCTCCCTGGACAACTAAGAGCCCCTAGGGGTCAAGGTGACACTTGTAGTTCTCAAACACATCCAAAGCAATTAGTAACCAGAACAGTGTGACTAAAACACTGCTGTACACAGCTCCATGATGATGCTCCCATGCCCTGCAACCACCAAAATCAGCAGGAGAGGAAGCAAGGAAACCCACCAGGGAATCTCCTGCCCAGTCTCCAGGAGTTCGGGGGAAACTGCTCCCTCCCTCAGGCAACTCTCACCTCTGAGGAGGGATTCCATCAGACTCAGAAACCTTAGGAATACTGCTGGGCCAGTGGGACAGCTTCCCAGGTTTTAAGGACTCAGGCTCAGATGCGTGAACTCCAGAGCAAAGAACACAAAGGAGAAGTACAGAATGGCATGGAAAATGAGTAGGGGTGGGAAGCAATGGGGATGAAAGGCAGGACACTGGGTAGGGGTGGCCGGCTCCACACATTGGCTATGTATACTCCCTAAGCCGGGTGTTGGGAGGGAATAGACACCCCAACACTCCCCTATGTGGTCCTCCTTCACTTGGCCTCAGGGTGGTTGGTTATAAGGTTTTGTTTGATCTGATCTAGTGAGCAAACTTTGCTTGGGTGTTTGGGGTGAGGGAACAGCCCAGGGCAGCCCTGGAACCTTAGGGCACAATTTTTAAGAGTGAGGCTGGGGTGGCACCTGTGGCTCAGTGGTTAGGGTGCCAGCCCCATATACCAAGGGTGGTGAGTTCAAACCCGGCCCCGGCCAAATTGCAACAAAAAAATAGCCAGACATTGTGGCAGGCACCTGCAGTCCCAGCTATTCCAGAGGCTGAGGCAGGAGAATCATCTAAGCCCAGGAGTTGGAGGTTGCTGTGAGCTGTGTGACACCACGGCATGGCACTCTACCAAGGGTGATAAAGTGAGACTCTGTTTCTACATAAAAAAAAAAAAGAAAAGAGTAAGGCTGGAAAACATGATTTTTGCTAGTTTCAAGTTACCGAGCTTAGTAAAATTACAACCAAGTGACTGAGCTGGGATCTGTAAGGGGCATGCAGATAAATGTGAAAACCCCCTAAGGTGAAGTTTTCTCTCCCCCGCCCCACTCTGATGGAGACACCTGAGCCCTTGAGGCCAAGTGGAACTTTCACCCAAGTCCTAGGTCCAAAGGCATCAACTTTTTTAAAAAAGTAAATATTGCAAGAGAATCTTTCAGTAAAAGTCTCAGACTTCAGACATGTAAGACATAAGCAGCAATAGAAACTTCACTTAGAACCAAGTGCTTAGAAAGTTCACATGTCCTCCCACCAAACAACTGGGAATACACTGTGAAGAGCCCAGCAAGTCACACACCCTGCACCCAGGGCAGAGCAGCCAGAAGTGTCAGGCCTTCCAGCAGAGGCAGGGAGGAGACCAGCAAAGGACAAGGCTGTTGTATGTAGTGGCCTAAGCGTCTATGCCACATTTACGGGGGAGTCCATTTTCCACTGAGAAACCGAATGAGGCTGAAGGGCCATACCCCCAGGGACAGTCTGCATAAGACAGGAGGAGGATTAACAGAGAGGACTTCCTAACTACAGTTAGGGATCACCGGAACTGGAATTTTTTTCCAATGAAAACGGACCTTGGAACAGCCCCTCCATTCCAGAAGAAGAGGGCCTTTTCTTATTTATCAGAACAGACATCTGTTTAAAAAAAAAAACAAACACCTGACCATTCACCAAAAGCTGCGCACATGCGCTCTTGTATTAAGTTGGAGCTGTCAACCACACCTGGGGGCAGATGTGAAGACTCAGGCCGCCCTGACTGTCCACTGCCCTAATGGGGTACAGGCCTGGGCCGGGGTCTGCCCCTCCAGTGGGTAGCTTGGGGATCCGGTTGGACCCCGGGACCTCCTGTACCGCTGCGCCTGCCTGCTGCCCCCAGATACCTGCGCTGGAGACGCAAGTAGGTAACATCGGCCTGGACTCGCCCCCATGCTGCCACCAGCAAACGCCCAGGTCTGAAGCCCACGCAGTCGACAGAGCCCGGGCCGGTTCCCACGAGGGCGGGGCCCGGTGCACGTGACTAGAGGCAGCCAATCGTAACCCGCACCGCGGTAGGGGCGTGCCCTCCAGAACAAAGGGCATTTCGTGAGGGGGCGGGGCACAGAGGGACAAGCGGGCCCCAAGCTGCTAGTGCAAAGAAGACCTGTAATAGCGCGGGTGACCGCCCACCAAGGAAAGGGGAGACTGCAGGGATGCCTATCAGGGAGCTGGGGGGAGAACAGTGAGAAGTAACCTCAGGGGCGCTAGAAGAGAGAGAGAGGGCTGACAGCAAGGGGTACAGGGGAGAAGGGGATGACAGCAGGTAATGGTGATGGGGGGTACCAACAGCCCGTGGAGGGAATGGTGATGAGGGGTACCAACAGGAGCGAGATGACACTGAGACGGGTAACAGCGATGGGCACAGAGGGAGTAAGGCCAGAGGGAGGGTCCCAGCCACCTGGGTAAGGAGATGCCCACCCCCTTTAGACCTACAACTCAGCCCCAGGCTACCTCTTGCTCACGCCAAGAGCAATGATAGCTGTTTTGCCTGGCACTGACTAAAGGGTCTTTGCTCTTTGGCACATATTCATGTTTTTTTTTTTTTTT